CAAAAAATGTCTGCAGACTGGTGCTGGTCCATGGACCACAGGTTGGGGAACACTGTCCTAAATAATCATATTAAAATCCCACTTCATTTTTAATGGTGTTATATATTCCCTGAAAATTTGATGAAAAGTTTGTGTTCCTTCCTCAACTTTTAATTGTGATGTAATTTTGAAGAAGCAAAATTTGTTCTAGCTGATGCTAGCAGTGTATCACAGCCAAGCAGGAACAAGTAACACTTGATCTGATTTCTCAGATTGGAAGGTGTGCCATGAACTGAAATTCATTGTATTTATGTAGGGGCATTGGTAATGCTGTGGTATTGTGTTTTAACTTTTGTAAGTCTGTGATGAATTTCACCCCTTGCCACACCTTTCAGCCAGATAAATCAGATCACTGCTCTTTGTTCTTGAGACATGCTCTTGGACCAGCAGAGTGGGCACAAGGTCATCAACTTTGAAAAAGAAAGAACTTTTTCCTTTAGTATCATCAGTAACTTCAGACATTCAGGACCTGAAGGTAGTGTGCTGAGATGCAGTTGAAATTGCAACAATTGAATTTTTTCAAGTACTGTTTTTTTTCTGTTGAAAATTCAAGTTTTTTCATTCAGTATGCAGGTGATTTTAGGAAAATTCTTGCAGTGCTAAATTTTTTGATAGATACATAAAAGAAGCTTCATTTCCCACTTGTCAGCATTCACAAGATTCAAACTATTTGAATTGTGGTTCTCATAATTCAAAAATTTTAACAATTCTTGAGAAAAGTTGATGAATAATGTCTGGAATTCAGGAGCTGAAAGTAGTGTGAGATGCAGTTGAAATTTTAACATAATCTATTTATTTTTAAAAGTGCTGTTGAAAAATGAGTTTCTTCATTCAATATGCAGGCAATTTCAGGCAAATATCTGCAGTACTAAATTTTTTGAATGTTGGTTCTCATAATTCACCTATTTTGAAATTTCTTGAGAAACGTTGATGAGAAACTTCAAGCATTTAGGAGCTGAAGGCAATTTGACATAAGGTTGAAGTTGTAACACAATTAATTTTTTACACTAAGCTTTCTTTAGTTATTTATAATGTGTTTTGTTGACAATTCGAGTTTCTTCATTCAATTTGCAGGCACTTTTAGGCAAATACTAAATTTTAGTATTAGCGCTGAATTTTTTTAGACATGGGTCTCATAATTAACAAATTTTAAAATTCCTGGAGAAAATTTGCTGGTTCAACTTCATTGTGTTCTAATTTGAGTTGCTTGTGATTTATATGTTATTGAAGGTTGTGATATTCCTTGTTTTTTTATCACACATGTTTTCTTTTTATAACCAATTTTCTGCGGCCTAAAAGTAAAACACAAACTTGTTAAAAGACCATTTATTTTGAATTGATGTATGATGATGATGGAAAAATTGAATTTTTATGAAATCAGAGGTTCAATGCCCTGATCTCTAATACAGTACATTATTTCTCTCTCTCAACCAAAGCCATTTGACAAATATTGAATTTCCAAAAAAATTGCTGCTGCAAATTTCACAAAAATATGTCAGGGCAAAATAATGGTGGACTTTCTCTACAATGAAACTCATGGGTCCAGAAAAAAAAATTATAGAGAGAATTTTTGTTGTTGAAAACTCTTATATAGCATGAGGAGAGACCAATGGTACAAAAAATTAATTACACTGAGAACATTGTTTCAGACAAGATTGTTGTAGTGAGAGTCTAAATGGTTAAAGTAAAATAAAAAGGTATTTCAACATTTATTCCCTCTTCTGAGACATGAAAAAAAATTTTGAGAACACTTGAAAAATGTCAATGAATGCAAGGGAAATTTTTGGATATTCCTCTGGAAAAACTAATATATTCCATTGGATTCTGGAATTTTTCTATGAAATTTCTCTATATATTAAATTGTGCTAATAAAGCGTTTCTGTCTGGACCTTGAAGGAATCCTTTATAATGGAAAATTCGTTCTAACAGTATTCTTTGTACAGAAATATGTAACCTGCATTTTTTAAAGGACTTCAGCCTCGACTTATTTTCCTCATTTTCTCCAGGGCAGTTTTTCATTTTGAATTTTTCCCACACACACACACACACACATTTTCGCTGAGTGAAAGGAATCAACCAAAAGATATGCCACGCAGAGACGTGACCATAGACATTCCTCATCATCATCATCATCGGAATGTGACACGTGGTCTGAGTTTCGACAACCCGTCATTCAATGCTGACGAGCAGCAGCAGCAGGAGGAGAACGGCGACGAAAACGACACCCGTCGACAGCAGCGACACCGTCGACGCGGACACGACACCGACGACGACGACGACGACGACAACAACGTTCATCCCGAAAAGAGTCGCGATGACGGGAAAAAGTCCGAGTACGATTTCGAAGATGACGCTGAAGATGGCAGCACGGGTCTGAGGAAATGGTTCCCGGGTTTGTTTGAGGACTGGAGGGGCAAGGATTGGAGGGACTTTCTGTCGGATTTCGTGCCAGGGATCCCCGTGGGCATTTCCAGTGTGCCCCAGGGCATCGTGTTTGCTGAACTGTCGAATCTTCCTGTTCAGGTACAAACAGCAGCAGAGTTCCAAAACTGAAGAAAGCCAAAATTTAAGCATCAAAAATCGCATTTTAAAAATCATATATACAGTAATGCATCACTCTTTTTTCAATGTACTGTACTGTGATTTTTTTTGGGGTAAAATTTTTTGGAATCAGTGCTAAAATAAACAAGGCAAGTTAACAACATTATATCTTGCCTCAAATTGTAATTGTAATTTTAATTACGCTTCTGAATATTTTAATCACATACTGTAATATGTAGACAACATATGGTTATTCAAGAGAGATAATGGACACAATATTGTTGAGAAATATTTTCAAACAAAGCAGATCATTGTTTGCAATGACATTTCTGAAATTGTTTTGTTTATGCTCATGACGAAGTGAGACCTATACCATACAATTACAGGGTTCCAATTAAAAAAAATTTCAAACATCAAAATAATACCTCAAATCATATTCTTTAATGTAGTTAACTTGGATAATTTTTTGTTTTGGAACCAGTATAAAAAAGCAAGGCAAGTTTACAACAGTTTGTGTTCAGCAACCTTTTTGGACCCACAGACCAGCAAATTTCCATAAATTTTTTTTGCAGACTCAACAAAGTTTTGCTTGAAAGACTTTNTTTTTTCAATGCCATTTTTAAAAAGCTTTATTTAAGTAAAGATTTGTATGTTACAACCCAGCACTTTGGTGGAGGCAGATGTCACTTCCAGTTCACTCATGCAGATCAGTTCTATTCAACACTAGGACAAAAAAAAAATAAGCTTTCATAGCTGCAATCAAGTTCTTCATCCTGATGGAATGTGATGGAATGGCGTTGACTCAAAGTGTGCCTTCATTTCCACAGTATGGCTTGTATGCTGGGTTTGTTGGAGCAATAGTTTCTGCATTTTTGAATCCATTCAAGGAGATAAACACTGGAGCTGTGGCAGCTGTTGCTTTGTTGCTTGGGGCAGCCACCATTGATCTGCCTCAATCAACAGCTATTTTATATGCAAATATCATGTGTTGCTTGATTGGTGTTGTGACCCTGATCATTGGCTTGGCTAAGTTTGGTAAGAATGAGATTTTTTGATATCCTTTATATGTCATTCATCAACAATTTGTCTTTAGTATTCTGTGACCAACCTTCATGTTTTTATTGATGGAGAATAAGATTATGAATAAGATTTTTCCTCATAATAAGATTTTTCCTCATAATAAGATTTTTCCTCATAATAAGATTTTTCCTCATACTAAGATTTTTCCTCATAATAAGATTTTTCCTCAAAATAATTCTGATTTCATAGCACATGTTCAGGAAGATCATATTTTCTCATACTTCAGTCTGTTTTTTTTTTCAATGGTAAACATTGCACTTCACTTGTTTGATCAGTTAATAAATTCTGCAAACCCTTACTTTTGCAAGCAAGAAACAGAATTTTTTACATGTTCTGTCTGAGAAAATTAGATATTGCTGGTTCATGTTCTGTGATGAGTCTTGAACTCAGATGCTGACAATTCTCTTCAAGTTCAAGATTAATTGCTTATGAAGCAAAATCTATTTAATTGGCATGTAACAAAAGTAGTACAGCACAGTACTTGACTTGTTTAATCTGTGAATCAATTTTGCAAAGTCTAACTTTTTTTGAAGAAAGAGATTTTTTTATGTCCTGTCTGAGAAAATTTGATCTTGCCAGTTTGTGTTCTGTGACAAGTCTTCAACTCAGATGGTGACATTTTTCATCAAGTTCAAGATTACTGGCTTATGATGCATCACTTGATTTATTGGCATGTGATAAAAGTTCCATGATTTTCATGAATATTTTTCTTACAGATAAATATGTGGATTACTTTTCAACAAGAGCTGTAACTTGTGGAGTGTTTTCTGCTGCTGGATGTTTGACCATGTTGGCGATGGTGCGATTCTTTTTG